TGATGCTGTTCTGGGAAACGTTTTCGTTGGTTACACTACCCCCACTCCCCTAGGCATGTTTTAGAATCTCCTTTTTCGCTCCCGCTGCTTTAAAATCCTACAGTGCTGGACATAATTGCAAATGGGTCTTTTTTGCCACTATGCTGGGCCTTTTAATTGAAAAGTATAACTTCTGGCAAACTATTCTTTTTTTTTTTTTTTTTTTTTGCATTTTTTTAAATTGTGATTTGGGTGAAGATTTACAGAGCAAATTCACTTTCCATACAGCAGTTCACATATACTTTGTCTCATGTCATTGACCACAGTGGCAAACTATTCTTTATTGGTTAATTTATTTGATTTCTTTTTCTGGAACCCCCGAGTCAGATATTGAGCTCTTACTTTACCCAATTTTTCCTCCTGATTCCTGTCTCTTTGTGTTTTTGCTCACTTTCCTAATGTTGTTGTTGCTATGTGCCATTGAGTTGGACCTGACTCATGGCGAACGCTCCTTGGGTTTCTGAGGCAGTATCACTATGGAAGTAGATTGCCTAACCTTCCTTCCAAGGAGTTCTGTCTCTTGACTCTCCTGTTGGAGTTCTCATTTTGGCTTTATATTTAATTTGCAAATTGGGAAGGTAATACAACAGCACTGTGCCTTCTAGAACATCTCCCACACTAACCTCCACCTTCTGGCCAGCCCAGTCCCTCGGCTCTGCCCCCTTATTACTGGATGGCCTTTGCCTAGCCTCCCAGGATCCCTCCTTGCTCCAAGCCACCATCTGCACCAACTTCCTAAAACATTCATTCACCCACACACTCACCCACTCATCTATTCATCCATCCTTCCACTCACTCATCCATCCATCCACCCACATATCCATCCACCCACCCACCTGTCCACCCATCCACCTGCTCATCCACCCCTCATCCATCCATCCATCAACTCATCTATCCACCACTCACTCAGTCATCCATCCATCCATGTATCTATCCATCCATCCATCCACCCACTCACTCACTCACCCATCCATGTGTCCACCCACCTACCCATCCATGTACCCACCCACCTATACATCCACCCATCTATCTATCCACTCAGCCATCCATCCATTCACCCAGTCATCCATCTCACTCATCCATCCATACTCATTCACCCACTTATCTGTCTATCCATCCACTCATCTATCCACCCACCCATCCATCTAACCACACATCCATCCATTCATCCAACTACCACTCACCTGTCCATCTGTCCATCAAGTGCAGGTTTCTGAGTGTACTTCTCCAAATTTCTGGCCCATCAGGTCCCAACATAGAGTTGATTGCCAGTCTCATCATGGGGAATAACTACCACTAGCTGCCCAGCCACTCAACCAGGCCCAGCCAAGTTGACACACAACCTTAACCACCATGGTTGGGGACTTGGTTCTTACTCTATTGCCACAGCTACTGATGTAGTGTGAGTGTGGTCTGAGTGCCCCTCAGAGCTTGTCCTTGGGCCTCTGGATGCAGAGGGTGGAATCTGGGATCGGCGTCTCCCCAAATGCCCATTGGGGTCTACAGATCAGTTCTGTGTGGGCTTAAATTGCTTCTCCATTTATATTCTGAACTTTCCCTCCTGCCTTGTTGAGCACTGCCTCATGTTGGAGCAGTGGTGAGGAGAGCATGGATGAGAGATTGAGATGAAAAGTAAGAAAACATTTCCTCTTTGGATGGTGAGATGCAAGTGCGTCTGTGACTCTGGGACTGGCCTTTTGGAGTGGATGTTCAGTTTATAGTTTCAGTGGGTTGGAACAGCAATGGACAAATGCATTGCCAACATTTCTTTCTGCAGAGGGAGTGAGGAGCACAAGAGACCTGTCCCTCCAGGGCCACAGGGCTGCTAGGTAGGCCAGGCCAAGTGCTGGGTAACTGTAAGGTGGGGCCACAGCCCTGGGGTGCCCAGCACAGTGGGTGATGGTCTGTGTCCTCCTGGCTAACCCTACCTCCTGGCCCTCTTTTGGGTATAGAGCCATCATCTCCCCTCTGCTTAGCCTCAGTCCATGAGAGACATGTGTGCCACTATTGATTACAGTTGCGGGGTGGTCCTAGGGGCCTGTCTTGTCCTCCACTGCCTGCCTTTTGTAATTGCTTCTATTCGTCCTAAATATAGCCTCCAGCATCCAGGAGTGAGGAGTGATAGCCGTCCACCCATGGCCTGATTTAGACATGTACTGCCCTCCCTTCACCATCCTCAAGGCCCCTCTTACTGGGTTAGTGGACTTATGAGGCAGCTGACTATGCAGGCTTAGACCTTGAAGTGGCTGCCAGGTCTCTATGTGCCTGTAAGGACTTCTCTGGCTGCCGATGGTGGAACACCGGGGGAACTCACACCCATAGGCTACTTCATCTTTCCCACTGACTTCTTTTGTAAACAGCTTTATTGAGAGGTGATTTATGTATCACAAAACCCACCTGTTAAAAGTGTGCAATGCAGTGGTTCTCAGGTAAACAGGGTCAGATGATCCCCTCAGGCATGGGAACTTGCTGTGAACTGAGAGACTGCAGGTGCAAGTCCACCTAGAGGTCCCTCAGGAAAAAGGTGGTCTGCTTCCAAAAACTCAGCTGAAAACCCGGGGAACACGGTCCTACTCTGATGCACATGGGGCCACCATGTGTCAGCGTCATTGCCGTGGCAACTGATGGGGCTGTGCAACTGTGGCCACAATGCACATTGTAGAGCATGTTCATCACTTCCTTATCAGTCACTCCCCATCTCCTTCACCAGCCCCAGGCAACCACGAATCCCCTTCCTGCCTCTGTGTATTTGCCTGTTCCAGACAGTTCATATAAATGGAGTCACAAACTCTGTGACCTCGTGTGTCTGGCTCCTTTCACTGAGCGTAATGTTTTCCAGGTTCATCCACGATGTAGCATGCATCAGCACTTCATCCCTTTTAATTGCCAAGTACTACTCTCTATGTCTTGTATTACCCACTCATCAGTTGATAGACATGTAGGTTGTTTCCACTTTTTGGCTAGTGCGAAGAAAAAACTACTATAAACAGTGTGTATAAGGTTGTCTATGGACCTATGTTTTCATTCTTGGGTTGGTACTTAGCAGTGGAATTGCTAGGTCCTATGGTAACCCACCAGCCACTCCTCAGAAGGAAGATGGGACAATTTACTTCTGTAGTGATACTGCCTGGGAAACCCAAGGAGGGGTCGCTGTGAGTCAGGTCCGACTCGAGGGCACATAACAACAACAACAACATGGTAACTCTACATGAAACATTTTGAGGAACTGTTTTCCACAGTGGCTGTACCTTTCTGCATTCCCACCAGCAATGCATGAGGGTTGCAATTTCTCCACATCCTTGTCAGCACTTCTTATTGTCTCTTTTTTAATTGTAGCCATTCTAGTGGGTGTGAAGTGGTATCTCTTTGTGGTTTTGACTTGCATTTTCTTGACGACTTACAATGTTGAGCATCTTTTCATGTGCTTATTGGCATATGCACTCTGTCATGGGTAGAATCTACAGCACATCACCTGTTTGCCAACTGCTACAAGTTCTGATTTGCACCTCTCCTCCCATCATTATGACTGATTTTTTGCTAGACTTTGGGGATAGAAATATAAAATTAAGGTGTGCTTTGCCTCCAGGAAGCTCACAGCTGAAGGAGGGGGCCCCTGTGATGTGTGCCATGATGGTGAACGTGGGTCCCAGAATGGCCACACATGCATGTGCACACATGCACATGCACACACAGACACACACTTGTGTGTGCACATCCATGCCACATGATTCACTGGTTCATTCCTGTGCTTTGTCTCTGAGCCCAACTTACAGTCAGGCATTTTGCTGGCTCTGTGAGTGGTCCTGTGGCTGGAGACAGGCTCACCCATGATCATGGCTGCAATAAATAGTCAAGGAGGAGCCACTGCGAAGGCAAATCCTCAGACCCTAATACTGCAGAGAGGGTGGAGAGGAAGCAGAGTCCAGGCTTGCTGTCCAGGCTTGTGCTCCTGTCCAGTGTTGGTGTGACTCGTGGAGGGAGGGTGACTGGGCCAGAGGTGGTGCTGGCGTGGCTGAGGTGTGGCCATGGGAAGATCAGGTGTGGCCAGATTCTGGGAAGATTCAGAAGGGAATGTTGGCAGGATTTGGGGCCAGGGAAGCTCCCCAGGTTTTGGCTTAAGGAGCTGATAGCCGAGATGGGGGAGGAAAACTTCCCTCTGTGAGAAGCTGATGTGATGGGCCAGATGCCTAGCAATCCTGGGGTGAGCCCTCAGCAGACAGCCCATGAAGAGCAGGGGCTCCAGGCTCCCGATGACTCCAATGCCTCCAGAGACTCTGAGTTGCCCAAAGGCTCCAGGCCTGCAATGCATCATGGCTCCCTAATGACTTCTGGTCCTCCAAAGACGTCTGGTCCCCCAAAGACACCTGGTCTCCTCTGGGTCCCTGAAAGAGAGGTTACAGTGCAGCATCCTCCCTGGGCTCCTGAGCCGCTCCTGGCTGCTGCCCGAGAGACGTGGCAGCTCTGATGTCTAGTTCCTGTGTGCCTGGCTAAGCAGGGATTCTGATGAATTTGTGGAGACCTAAGAACCTAAAAAAAAAAAAAAAAGCCTTGTTCCATTGAGACCTCCAGTAGTGGAGTCCCACATGACACTGGCAGCAGCTCAAATGTGTGTGGATCCAGCTACGTGCACTTCTCGTCTACATTTCCTACTCTCCAGAGCCTTCCTTCTGATTTGCATGGAGAGGTTAAATTCCAGAGAATCTGGTAGTTGTGGGCCAGGTGCAACCAGGAGCCGGACCTGGGGATGCTGCTTAGTGCTTCTGAGTGTTACCTTCCTGGGTGCAGGCAGAGTGCCTGTGGCAGGGTGCAAGGAGGAGACTGGCTGGCTCTGCTGGGCTCTGGAAGTGGCCACAGCCTGCTGTCCATGAGCCCCAAGGAAGAGGGCAGGGATACAGGCAGCAGAGCTGTGGCTGAGGAGATGTGGTTGGGCCTCTAAACTCACCGTGTGTTCCTACCCAGGGATGTGGCACCACTGGGATGCCTTGATTGGTGAGCACAAGGAGGTGGCAAATTCTGGAGCAGGTACTCCGGTCCCAGCACTTTGCCTGGGTAGATAGGGCCCCACAAGGATTCACCCAGCTTCTGGAACCATGCAGGACAAGAGTAAGAGGGAACTGACCATCCCTGATCATCCCTGTTGGACAGAAACCTGCCCCACTCACCCTGGCCAGGTTATTTGAGAAGAAAGCATGTGGGCAGTCACCTGGGGTGGCCTGGCAGCCTTGGGGTGGGGTGAGGTGGGCATCATTTACTGCTGTCCAGGCTTGTGCTCCTGTCCAGTGTTGGTGTGACTCGTGTCAATGACTCGCTTACACGTGTCACCATGATCATCATCATGGAGACAAGGACTTGTGTGTACAGACAGGTTTGTGGTGCCAGCTCCACAGCATCATTATGCCCAGATTTGTGAGCAGGAGTGGAACCTGTGCCTCATGACCAGCCATGCCTGGCGGAGGAAATGCAAGGAGACCCACTCAGGCCTCCTTTTTTCACCCACTCTGCCTCCTACTCTGTGGGTGAGGCTCTCCCTACTCCTGAGCCACCCTGTGTTCCTAACCCAGATGTATCCTCCCTGTGGGTCAGCTCCCTGTGTGGCTTCTAAGTACCTTCATCCATGTTCTTATCCTTGCTCTGGGAGTCTGAATGCCCGTGGTGAGTGGGACCTGGCCCCGATACCCTGCTCAGCCTGACCATCTCAGGTTCTCAGGCTGACAGACAACTCAGCGTGGTGGGACACAGGAGGGGTGTGTATGTGTGGGTGTGTGCAGAAGGGACCAAACTCTGAAGGCCAAACCTTGAAGACTGCCTCATGTGTCTGCTGTCTGTCTCCTTGGCAACCAGACCTATCTCCTTTGTGATTGTGCTCCTGGGGACATCATCGGGCCTGTGACAGGATGGAGCCATGTCCAGGTAGTGGGAGGATGCTGTGGCTGGCCTGTGGGGCTACAGGACCTGGGAGTGGAGGAATTCTAGAGAAAAATTCGAGGGGAAGAGAGAATGGGCACAACAGTGCACTGACTGCCTTTAGTGGAACCCAACTTACTTCCAAGAAGGAGCCAAGAACAAAATTTAGGGATATGTGTTTCCTGTTTTTATTGTTGGTTACTTAATGACCTTCTTTTGAAGTGCTGCCGTGGAGAGAGCGGTTGTCGTGGCAACAGGAGTGACGTGCAGGGATAGGTGCACAAAGCATGTCTCTGTCACGTCCAGTGATGCGTGCGGGCTCCGCTTGGACACGGGTTCATGTGAGGAATTAAGCATAATTGGAGCCCTGGAGGCAGCATGCACATAGGGAGGGGAGCTGATTGCTCGGCGCAAGGCTCTGGGCCCCGAGGTGTGTCCCAGATCAGGCATGTTTCTCCCCAGAGAGCTCCTCTCTTGTCCCTGGAACAGCCACAGGGCACTGGCCTTGTCCATCATCCCAGGGGTTCTAGAAAGAAGGTCATGCATATGGGGTACAGAAGGAGCCTAGATTCTCTCATGTCTCCCCTCCAGCCAGCAGAGCCAGCTCTCCTTCCCTGATCCTGTTTTTTTTTTTTTTTAAACTCTCAGAAAATGAGTTCCGGGGTGAGCTGCTGAGCCAGAGGTGGACCCACAGCGACAAGACCAGCAGCTGCAGGACCTCAGAGAGCCTCCTGGGCAGACACCACAAGGTGAGGCGCTGGAGGGCAGGGGCCTGTGGCAAGAGCCCTCCTGCCTACCCCCCGCTGTCTATGCAGGCCTTTCCAGCTCCCAGGCTGGAAAGGAACACAGAGGTGACCTTTAGTCTAGTGGTCTTCAGAGTCCAGATTTGGTGGGGGTGAGTGGGCAATAGGCCAGCAACAATCACTTTAGAATTAGAGGATGAATAATGGTGCTGAAGAGGCTAAAATGAGACAGAGAGTTTTGGTTCCTGTCCAGGCCTCACTTGCAGGTGTGACCACACCTGTGCTCTGCCGTGCACCTCAGCTCCTCTGCTCTGTTCCTCTGCTCTTCTGGGGGCTGCCTGAGCCCCTCCAGGGCCGGACATCAGCTGGTATAGACCTCCCACGTGGAGGTGGGTAGAGGACAGCCTTCACAGACTTATCTGGACTCCCTCTTCCATGCATGCATAGCTTCTGATTCTAGAACTGCTCACTGCCTGCTTTGGTGGGCCACGTCCTGGGATCAGGGGCCTGATGGAAGGAGGCTGACCCCATGCTTGGAGGGCACTCTTGCCAGGCATCAGACTCTGCCCTTCCTTCCCTGACATGTGATGTGGTCCCCTCAAAGAGCACAGTCCCAGCCCCAGGGACTGGGTGGGCATCCAGGCTCTAGACAGGAAGGTGCTCACATGTTGGGGTGCAGACCTCTCTGAGGGCTTTGCCTCCTCAAGCACAGCGTCTTTCTGTTGCTCTGGTACCACTGTGCTCCCTTAACAGGGCCACTATATCTGCCTTCTTCAGCCTTTCCACTTACACTTTTCCCTAGTGGATGACCACAGGCAGAAGGAAACATCAAGGCTATGGAGCCTGTCTTTACGTAAGAATCTGATATTTTGTTCAACATCCTTTTTGCATTAATTTTGATTTTTAAAACTATTTTATTGAAATATTATTTGTGTTGATTATTGAGTTTTGGGTTCCCCCTTATTATTATGATTATTAATTTTTTTGCCAGAGGTGTATATCTCACTCACCTCAGCCTACCTCCTCCCACTGAGGATTCAAATGGAGCCCCTCTGGCCTGAGACCACTCGATCACAGAAGTCATCCGATTTGTGGCCAGGGGCTCTGCATGCAGTGTTGTTTATAACTGGGAGCTGTGGAAGGGACAGGCAGGAGATTGAGGCCAACCCCTTGTGCAGGCAGGACAAAGTCAGGGACAACCTGTGACTGCTCACCATGAAATTTCCATGAGAGGACAGGTGTCTACACTGGGCCCTGCACTGCAAACACAAGGGGCCCATGTCTGGGCCCTGCCATGGGAACATGCAGCCATCTCCTCCCAGGCAGGACCGAGCGCTTCGTAATTGCTCTGCTTGAGAGTATTCATCCTTGAGTTGGACCTGAGAATAGGGAACAACTTCCTGTTCTGAGCAGATGATCGAAGATGAAGAGGGGCCCAGGGGAGGACATGTGAGTGAAGTGAAGTTCCAGCAGGACCTGTTGGGCTGGGCAGGTCCCACCTTTCACTGAGAAGGCTGAGGAAGTACCGGGATGGGAGGGGCACAGGAAAATGTCACAGCACTCAGGGATGGGCCTCCACCACTCAGCCAAACTGAGGAGGAGGGAGTGATGTGGCAGCTGTGCACTGGGGAGAGGCTGTGCATGAACACTGTGTGGGAGGCGGTCACGACTGAGGCTTTGGTTTCAGCACCAGTGCGTGGACAGCACCACAGAATCACAGCTGTCAGAGACGCATGTTGGGGGAAGCCCTGGGCTTGTACCTTTGTTTCGGGCATTGATAGTGGCTCCTGAAACCCCTTCCCAACCTTGAAGAATGAAACATTCAGGCCCAAATCATGTAATAGTCGATGAATGACTTTGGAAACATGGTTTCCTGGAGAAGGCTAGTGATTGGATGGGGCTCAGCCAGGCCACCCCAGTGGTCTGAGCTGTGTGCTGTCAGGACATGGGGTAGACACTCCTGGTGGCAGTGCGTCCTTTCTGCTGCCTCACTCAAAGCCACTGCAAACCCCAGGTGAACAAAACCTGTTTATGCTGGGGTTTTGACAGATGGAACTAGCAAGACTGCCTCATTGGGTTCCTGTTAAATAGCTGTTGTTCTTAATCTGGGATTGGAGGGAGCCATAGTCCCTGCTTAGAAGTGGCAGGAGAACTCTCCTAAGACATGTGCTGAATATACCTCATGGGGGGCCCTTTAACAGTCCCCAGGGGAGCAAACAGTAACTACTGGTTTATTCTGCTGGAGTGGGCTGCACAATGGGTGGATTCCCAGATGCCACAGGATGTGCCCCAAAGGGGCAGAAACTGTCTCTGCAAGGGGCAGGGGGCTGGGATGGCTTTTGGAGAGAGCAGAGTGGTGGGTGTGTGGCTCAGCCTTACAGACTCAGAGAAGGGAAGGCAGGCTGCTGGCTGGGGTCCCGCCTCTTTGAGGCAGAGGGCTCCTTGCACACAGCGTCCCCTTGGGGGTGGGGGGTGGGGGTGCTGAGCAGATGACCAGCTTTGAGGCGCCACAGCATTCTCCTTGTGCACAGGCGGCGGTGGCAAAGCAAGCTGAAGTTGTTGCTCCTCACCCCCCGCAACGAGGGGAGCCTGGATGCAGTAATGGTGTGTGAGGTGCTGGGAGATCTGAGCAGGGTGGGACAGCCACGGCCTCCTGTCCCTGCGTGTCCCTCTGCCCCTCACTCCCTGTCTCCCTTGGTCCCTTCCTTCTGGACGGGAGCCATCAGAAGACCCCAGGGATTGCCACACATTCTCGCTTCCCCAGCTTTGCTGGCTGCCAGAGCACATTTCAAATAAAACAAAACCTTTAGCTGCCTCCTCCTCTGGCCCAGGCTGTGGGAAGGCGTCCTCTCTGCATCTGACCACCCTCCCCTTTCCTGGTCCAGGATTCCAGAGACTTTTCAGCTACCCTAGTCTGCCCATCTGTCTGTCCGTCAGTCACCTGTACTGAGCATTGACTGTTTTCCTGGTGCTGGGATTAGCAGTCAGCACACCTATGGCATCCTTCCATCAGGGCTTACTTCTGCAGAAGAGGGGCTTAGAAACTAGAAAACACAAATAATAGAGTCACTTCAGGTCAAGCTGAGGACCATGACAGAAATCAGCCAGGCACAGTAAAGGAGAGGGAGGTAGCTGGGAAGAGAGAGCCCTCCCCCACCCACCCACACAATGAGGTGACCCAGCCAAACCTAGATGCCCTCAGCCAGTGCTTCTCTGGAGCTCAGTGCTCTTGGGGCCCTTCTCCTCCAGGAAGCCATCTCCCACCCATCTTCTCCTCCCTGAGACCCTTGGTTTGGAGTCCACACAGCACAGGGTCTTGGGATGTGCCTTGATTTTTGTATCTCTTCGAGCAGACTTCTAGCTGCAAGTAACAGACTCCAAACAAAAGTGCTTTGAACAATAAATAGTTTGTCACCTTCTCTCCCAGGCTAGGCTACTTCAGTAGCTCAGTGATGCCCCAACACCTTCTCACTGTCTTTGGGACACTGTGGTCCATGAACTGCTGCCTCATGGTCACAAGGTGGCTGCTGCAGCTCCAGGCATCACATGCAGACTTGGCAACATCCCACAGAAGGAAACTGCCTTTCCTGTGGCCTCTTGATGATGAGCCAATAAATCTTCCCCAGACAGCTCTGCAGATACCCTTGTGTCATTGTCAGATCAGGGATTAGCCCTCAGTTGTGCACAGGAGGGTGGACATTTTGGAGATGAGGAGAGGATATGAGAAGTTACTGGCAGCCACCGGGAAGTGTGACTGGCCTGGAGTTGTGTCCACCCTTCTCAGGGGGCAGGACCTGGTCTCCAGAGTGTCAATGTGCTTGGGGTTCCGCTACCATCTCTCTTCTGTTGCTCACAACAGTGCTTCCATCCCTCAAGTGTGTGAGGACCCTACCCCCACTGCTCACGTGAGCACTGATGTCCATTTGTGGTGGCCACTGGACATTTCCAACGTCCCACAGGTGCCCTACATGTCTGACTTGCTCCCTGCTCTCTCAGACTCCCTCCTTGAGGCTGACCATGGAGCCAGAGGCCTCCCCTCCCCACACATCTGCTTGGTCTCCAGGTGGTTGCCTGCAACCTCCATCCCTACTGCTTGCACTTAGATGCAGACTTGGCCTCTCATTGGCACTGTCTTTCCAAGGACAAGTCTGTTGTGCCCCCTCAGCCTCCAGGGAATGTTCTGCTGTGTTTCTTTACCTGCAGGACATGCCCCTTTCTTACCTTGTCTACCAAGTCCTGAGCTGCCTCATGCCCCTCCAGCCATGTCCTTCCCATGTATCCCCAAACTCTGGGCTCCAGTTGCACCCAGCGATTCACAAACCCCTGATTAGTCACGTTCCTCCTCAGCCTTTGTGAGCGCCTGTCTCTCTGACAATCTTGCCCCACTTGTACCTGGGTATCTTCATGCCCTCCCTTCATTCCCCAGGGTTACCTCTCCTGCGAAGCCTTCCAGACTGCCCCGCACTGGGTCAGGTGCTTCTTCCAGGGCGCCTGTGCCGCCCAACAGAGCCCGTGAATGAACCAGAGACACGTTTCCATTTCCTAGTGTAGTTGAGTTTCCTAAAGTGAACATGCATGCAGTTTTGAGGGGACCAAGACCGTTGGGGCTCTTCCTTGACCTCTAAAAGGCTTTGGTGTCCTGCTGGCCCCTGAGAGGGCTGGCTTCCCTGACCAGGTGCTCCCTGGCAGCCTTGGGTTTGGTTGGCAAGTTACAAGCCGTGCTTGCATTGTACTTGTGGGCAGGAACAAGAGCTGCTCATCCCCTCTCAAGCAGCAATTGTTCACAGACAGATGAGCCAGCATCAGTTCAGGCCTTTTCTCCGGGCCCAGCTGGGGGCAGGTATTGTCTGAGTCAGCATTCGGAGGGAGGACAAGGGCCACTTCTGGGGGCACCTGTGCCTGGGCTGGGCTTTTACACCTGCCTGTCCCCTGAGCAGCCCTGGGCTGTCCTGCAGGAGGGCTGGAAGTGAGAGGAAGCTCTAAGGGCTCTTGGAGGAACTGAACTGAAAAGAGAGCAGGGCATCCTACAGGGCCTCCCGTGCTCAGGGCCAGCCGGTGGCCTCCGCCCCAAAGGCAGATTGGTGCAGAGCTTCCAGGCCTGGAGGGGGCCCATGCCAGCTCTGACCCCAGCAGTGCCGGGCACTGGAGAGCCACGTCCCTTAAAGACAAGCACGCGAGGCTTTGGCCTTCTCACAGCTGCTCCCTCCACTGGCCTTCTCAGCCCCAGGTTTGTTCTGGTTCCCTAGTGCTGCTCTAACAGAAATACCACAAGTGGGATGGCTTGAATAAACAGGAGTTTATTCTTTTACAGTTTGGAGGCTTTAAGTCCACTTTCAAAGTGCCAGGCTCTAGGAGCTGGAAGAAAGCCTTGGCTTTCAACCTTGGGCTTCAGCTCTGCCTCCTGCTCCTGGCCCGCTGAAGCTAGAGGCGTTTCTTCATGGCTGCTGGATGCTGAGGCTGAGAAGCCCAAGGTTGACAAGCAAAAAGGCACAGTCCCGATGTTACCAAACCACACAACAGGCTGTTAATTCAAGTCCATTGAAAGTCCCAAGGACGGCACAGCATGGCAGGTTGCTGAAAAATGACAAGGCTACATACAGGATTCAAGTGTACCGTAAGCTAGAGACCATCCCCAAAGATGCTTCTTATATACTGGAAGCAGAGCACATCCCTAAGGCAGCTACTCAGCTACTCCAATAGATTCTACCATGGAGTTGATAACCAGTCTCATCATGGTGAATAACTGCATCCGGCTGCCCAGCCACTCAACCAGGCCCAGCCAAGTTGACACACAGACTTAACTACCAAAGGATTTCAAGGCCAATGTCAGGGAGCCTGGTCCTGCCAGGGTCCTGTGCTCTGAGCCTGCAAGGGTTGGTCCTTGCAGCTGGCCCTTTGAGAACCATGTGCACTTAAAAAGAGCTGTGTGACTGATCTTGACTCCAGCAACAAAACAAAGCAACCTTTAAAACAGAACAAAAGAAACAGAACCTTTAAAACAGAACAAAAGAAAACACCGAAAGAGGCCACTTTTCTGTGATGCTAATAAAACACAATGAACGGTGGTGAGGAGCAGACACCTTCTGTGTGCGGACACAGCAGACAGGCTGCATTTGCCCCCATGCATCACTCCTCAGGGCTGGTCTCCCCACTGAGGGCAGTGCCAGTGAAAGTAACCAAAGTGAAGAGAGTGCTGACTAAGCAGGACGGCAGAGCAGAGGTGGGCCCAGGGGCGGAAAGCACAGGTCTCTCATGAGAGAGCTGGAGGTCTTGCAGTGAGCAGAAACAGGGACCAGAATTCTCCATCCATGGCAACAGAGTCAGCTGGGTTGTCTGTGCTCTGAGCAGAAACAGGGACCTGGCTGGTTTGTACTTGGAACAAGTCATGGTTTTTGTTTTTTCATAAATCAAGGAAACATTGGAAAGTGACTTATTGTCTTTGTGCCAAAGAGATGCCCTTTAGGGCACAGCCTGGTTGGTGTGTGGTTGGGGTGGATGGCTGCCAGGCCAGCTGCTTGAACAATTTATTTTAGTAGGATCAGCACAAGGCTGGTCCTTATAGGGTGGAGGTTAAAGAGGTCCCAAATGTCCAACTTTTCCAAACTGCTGTAGCACTCCATCATCTCTGACATCAACTTTTTTCCCTCCACTCAGTACTCTCCCTCCCGTCTTAAGGTTCTGTATTTTGCTGGAACATCTCAGAACTCATAAGCTGTTAGAAAAATGGCCCGCACAGTGGAGGAGGCTGCCAAGTCCCAAATACGTGGGTCAGATGTCAGTCTGGAGGATTCTCCTCACTCACATGTTTGTAGGCTGTTATGTCAAGTCCCAGGAACTGAGGATTAGGTGATGACAAGGCAGGTACAGGACTCAGCGCAGGAGAGTGGACCTTCTCAGAGCATTTGGTAGATGGGGTGCAGACCATACTGTCAAGGAAACAAAGGGTGGTGACTGTGGTCACCACATGTTCATGTAGTGGGACTTGAGTCCCACTCCTTAGTAAGGTGCTGACTCGAAATACATCTCATCCTGCATCATTAGTATAATGGACAAATCACTCAAAAATGGGACCAAAACCACAGGCATAGAGGCTGGGATTTATAACACATCCTGACATGGAGGACTGGGGCTGGTAGGGCCATGTTGGGTAATTCATTGCACTGTACCAGCAGACATGGTGCTGGGTGCACAGTATTGAAATCAGAAAGAAAGGTGGTATAAAGGTGGACTCTTTCTTCCCAGAGAGGAGCTCTGGTGGTACAGTGGTTAAAGCATATGGCTGCTGACCAAATGATTGGCAGTTCAAACCCACCAGCTACTCTGAGGAAGAAAGGCGAGGCAGTCTGCTTCCATAAAGATTACAGCCTTGGAAACCCTATGGGGCAGGTCTACTCTGTCCTTTACAAAACAAACAAACAAACAAACAAACAAACAAAAAAACCAAACTCATTGCCATTGGGTTGATTCATAGTGACTCAACTATGAGTTGACTCATAGTGACCCCTCCTTGGGTTTCCAAGGCAGTATCTCTGCGGAAGTAGATTGCATAATCTTCCTTCCGAGGAGTGGCTGGGGGTTTGAACCGCCAGTCTTCAGGTCAGCAGTCAAATAAATGCTCTAGGCGTTACACCACCAGAGTTCCTACTCTGTCCTTTAGGAGCACTAAAGGAGTTAGAATCGACTTGAGGGCAGTGGATTTGGTTTGGGCTTTGCTTCTGTAAAGACTGATATCCTTGGAAACCCTCTATGTCCGTTCCACTTTGTCCTCCAGGGGTGCTGAGTCGGAATCGACCCCATGGCTGGGGTTGGAATCAGTTTCCCTGCTTTGCCTTGATGTCCCAGGTCACCATGCCTCAGAAACCATTCCCACAGTAGAGTCTATTTCCTCCTCTAGTCCAGGGTTTCCCTTTCAAATTTGAAGCTGCATGAATGGAAGAAGCCTCTTGCTTATTGATCATTTGATGCAGACAAATCACAAATGGAAAAGGTGCTGCTGGGTGAGTGTGCAGCTGCCAGCTCCTTAGGGGCCGTGGCCACAGCAGCACCATCACGAATCTCTGCAACCTGTCCTGTTCTCCGCTTTCTGAATAATTCATCTGCAGGAAACCTAAATTGCCAAGACACGCTTTAACCCAACAGAATGCTTGCCAGTTTCCTCAGGAAGACCGACGAAAAGGGCTGTTGATTGCGTTTCAGCTGAGCCCAGGCTTGCAGTGAGGTGCATTAGCTCCATTGTGGGTGCAGGAGGCACGCATGCTTAGAGCAGTGCGGCAGTAAACATGATGAAAGCCCTTTGACACCTGCTCCTCTCCACCCTTCACATGTGAGCCATTGACCCATAGGGAGCCTCTGCTTTTTAAAACAGAGATTACAGTGATTATCTTCAGTGTCACTGAGGCTGTTACGAGCTCACCACTCACGGAGCAGCCACAGCCTGGGCTGACAAGTTGCATAAATTACCCAAGTTTTGATTTCTTTTCCTTAACAAATCTCATAATCGTTTTGTGTTAGCATTGCTATGCAGGGGTGACTTCCTTTGCCCGTTTTGTCTTGCTAATTCAGGGACCTCCTTTTTCTTTCCTCCTGGGTGGTGCCTGAGAGAATTGCCTCTTGCTGGCTTTAAGAATGGAAGTCCTGTTGGACTCGATCCTGCCATCCTCCCCCTCTCCTCCTTGCCTACATGCCTGCACAAGGCATGTGTGGCAGCCTTACAAATGCAGCCCTGGCTGTCTGGGGTGCTGTGGCCACAGGTAGGGACACTCTGGGCAGGTTCAACATGGCCCGTCCCTTCCTGACCCCACGGGGAAGGGGTTGAGGCCTCCCGGATGTGTCTGATGCCACCCTGACTCCCAATACCTGCCACACACCGATCCCCGGCCGCCTGGCCACCTGGCCGCCTGGCTGCCTGGCCGCCTGCCTCTTTGTGGAGAAGACTCTGCCCCTGAGCCTGGGGCACCAGATTTGCCATGGAGGAGTTTCTGCGTGACCCGCAGGACTTATGGCCGCTTTCTCCTTGAGGGGCCCCCTGGGACCTGTCCCCAGGCCCACCTCTTCTGTGGCTGTTACCTGCTTGGGACTCTCCCTTGACTCCCTGTGCTGGGTGAGGTTGTGGGCAGGAGCAGGGAGCTGGGTTGGGGTGGGGGTACAAGGACACATGAGGTCAAACAGCAGGGCCTGGGTTCCTGCCCACCTTTCACCCGAGACCCATCCTGCTCCAGAGCAACGCTACCTGGCACAGTGGCCTTATGCCACTGGACCCTGAGCCGTTGCAATGTGGCCGACCTGAATGGAGGTTTGCAAGATGCATACCTAGTCTCTAGAGTGCACGCAAAGCAAGGGTAGGACACGCCTACCAGTAGTTTGTTATGCTGGTCTCTGGTTGGAATGAGGCTATTTTGGATGTATGGGGTCAAGTGAAACTTAGTGCTAAGATTAATTTCACCGCTTTCCACATTTTAATGTGATCGTTTGGCCATGGACAATGTCAAGGGCGGCATGCCCCTTTGCTGCAGGATGATGCCTTGGCCCGTGCAGCTCTGTGTACACAGAGCACACCCAGTCAGAACACAGTGTCACTCTTGGGATGGCCTCACCAGGGCCTTACTTCAGCAGGGTGGGCGTCAGAACCACAAACTGCAAACAGTGGCTCCACCCCTGAGCTCTGAGATGGCCTGACTATTTCAGCAGGGTGGGGGTCCTGCAGGCAGACAGGCTCTGACCATACCAGGCTGGGAGTGGCCCCAGTGCCTTGTCCCCCCGGCAACTCTATCTCCATCACTGGGTGGACCCTGGGGTGGTGGGAGCAGGGGGCAAGGTGACACCAGCTGTGTCCTTACCCATAGGAGGAAACATCTCTCTGGCAGCACCCCGACCTGCTGCTCCTGGTCCCAAGCCTCCCCTCGTCTCTGGGGACAGAGTCCACCTTCATGGTCAGAGCTTGAGCCAGAAACCGCCTGGCCCCAAGGGTTCTTGCTAATCTGCAGCCGTTTTGCTTTTAGATGAGCCTAGAGAATGAGGACAAGCGGGCACGCACGCGATCCAAGGCTGGCCGAGGTGAGTGCCCAGGCCTGGCTGCCGCCTCACTGAGGCACATGTCACTGTCCCTGATGTCCTCAAGGACAAGCCCACAGCAAGACTCACATCCCTTGGAGGCCTGCCTGGCAGATGCCTGAAGCCCTTCAGCCTGGGGAGGGCTGGCCACAGGCTTTTGCCCAGGAACCTCCCTAGTCAGAGAGTTGGTGCTCTGCCAGGCCCAGCATGCCCTTCCTGGCCTTGCTCCCTTCCCTGACAAGGTCTTGGTACTGACAGAGATTGGAGGTCAGGGGCTGGAGCAGCAAGTGGGGGTCTTGCTTAGGTGTGAGTGCAGCTCCTGTGAGGGTGAGCCGAGCCTGCACCCAGGGTGCACGGTACTGAGGGTGCACTGGGCGAGGGGGCTCACGGTGTGGGAGGGGTCTCTAGTCCCTCTGAGAGTGACTCTACCATCTTCCCCTGGCCTGTGTGTCTTCCCCTCTGTCTGGTTCGTCTGGACATCTGCCCTGGCTGGAGAAGCCTACCTGAAGTCAGAGCAGGGGAGCTGCCCTCTGCAAGCCTGGCTCCTGGGAGAGGTTGTGAGCACAGGTAGTCAGCACGAGGGCTGGAGGAGGCAGCTTGCTCAGTTAGACCCTGGACAGTTTGGCTCTCATGAGGATTATCTCTGTATGCACTCGGCAGATCTGGTGGCTGAGGTTTCCAGGGCTCTAGGTTGTTAGGAAATGTGTCTCTTATGCTCTAACCCACCTGTGTTTCTCCCGTCTTCTCTCACCAGCACCGCCAGAGACCACAGGCACAGACCTCAGGTAAGGAAGGTTTTGTTAGCAATGCATGTGAGCTGGGTTGGCTGCAGGTCTGAGCCTACCCTGGGATGTCCAGGCGACTAGGACATCTTTCTTTCCCGATGAGCCCCATCTCCTCGGGAACTTGTATCCAGTACTCTATCCTGCCTCTGTCCTGTCCTGTCCCACTTCTGCCCTGTCCCACTTGATACCCTGCTCATGCTCAGGGCAGCCCTGCTACACTGGTCAGCACCAGAACTGACCCCAGACCAGTAGCAAGGGAGACCATCAGTGGGCTACCGAAATGCTTCTGTGCCAAGAGCCTGGGGGCCAAGGTCAGCCAGAGAGCTAGACTAGGGTGTCCCGTCAATACTGTGAATAATGCCTGCTGTGTAGGCAATGGGCACAAATTTGCATTCTCTGATGAGTCCAGATCCTAGACAGAGCTGTGTGCCAAACTGAGTGGGTGGGACTGGGATAGGCACAGTTGGACTAGGGGCCAAGTGAGTGGGACTGGTGGATTGGTGACCAGGAGAGAGGGCTTCCTGGAGGTCGTGGGACTCTGCCTTGTTGCCAGTTCATTCCGTGGCTTGCCACACACTTGGGAGAGCAAGGGATTGTGGGGAGCTGAGAGAGGCTGATGGCAAGGCCAACTTCGGAGGCCTAGCATAGGCCCTTGGTGCCGGACCCCTCCCAGGCTCTCACGGTGTCCCCCTCGGCCAATCCTGCTCAGAGCCCCACAGTCAGCAAAGAGAACTATCC